CCATCCCCCCAGTGCCCCCAGTACCCCCCAATACCCTCCCAGTGCCCCCAGTATCGCCAGTCCCGCCCGCAGGACGCGGTGCTGCTGGTGCAGGAGGCCAAGCCCGAGTGCCGTGGCCGCTGGTACCTCCCCGCGGGCCGCATGGAGCCGGGCGAGGGCATCGAGGCCGCGCTGCGGAGGGAGGTGAGGGAGGAGTCGGGGCTGGACTGCGAGCCCCTGACGCTGCTGGCGCTGGAGGAGAGGGGCCCGGCCTGGATCCGCTTCGCCTTCCTGGCACGGGCCACAGGTTTGTGTCCCTTGGTGCTCCGAAGAGCCCGGGGGGGCTTGGGGGGAGTGTCCCCAGCTGGCCCCGTGATGGGGATCTGTGTGCCCTGAGACTTCCATGATGGAAAGTGGCACTCCCGTGATGGGAATCCTTGTCCCCTCCCAGTTCCATGATGGGTATCTGTGTCCCCCGCCAGTCCTGTGATGGGTAATCCTGTCCCCTGACATTTCCATGAGAAGTGGCATCCCCGTGATGTTTATCCCTGTCCCCTGCCAGCCCCATGGTGGCTGTCAGTGTCCCCACCCACCCCTATACCCCAGTGCCACCTGCCGCCTTTGTGCCAGGTCACTGATGTCCCTTGCAAGCCCCATGATGGATTTTGGCATTTTTGAGCCAGGACATCGCTGTCCCCTGCCACCACCCCCCCAAACCGCATGCAGGGCCACCAGTGTCCCCTCTCAGGGCCCCCTCCAGCCCCTCCCCGCTGTCCCTCTGTCCCCCCCAATCCGAGCCACCCCTGCACGCTCAGGTGGGACCCTGAAGACCCTGGAAGAGGCCGATGCCGAGTCCCTCCAAGCCACCTGGTGGCCTGGGGACCCTCGTTCGTTGCCGCTGCGCTCTCTGGACATCCTGCCCGTGCTGGAGCTGGCCACCCGCTACCGCCAGAGCCCCGCACACCCCCCGACACTGCCGCGGGAGCTGCCCTGCTCCCCGCTCTGCCTGCGCCTCCTCCTGCCCTTCTCCAATGCCGCCGGCGACCTGTGGCTACTGCTGGCCACCGCTGGTACCCCGCACCTGCCCGTGGTGGCCTGTGGCACGTCCCGCTCCGAGCTCCGCGCGGGGCTGCGCTCGCCCCTGCTGCGGCTACTGCGGGACCGCCTGGCTTGGGAGCCACAGCCCGGAGCTCTGGGGCTGCTGGGGCTACAGCACCGGCCTGGGGGGATTGGGGACAATGATGGCATCTGCTTCAACGTGGTGCTGAGCATCTCCCCGGCGAGCCAGCGGGACGAGCCCCCCGAGCCCCGCGACCCCGCGCTGCGCTGGTGGCCCGTGCGGGAGGAGCGGCTGCGGGGCCGAGTCCTGCAGAGGATCCGGGCCACGGTGCCCGTGCGGAGTTAGGGCACAAAAAAGCTGGATTTGGGAATTGGGGGGTGGGCTGAGAGGGACACGCAGCTCGGGGTCGTGCTGGCCATGGGTGGGGGGTGCTGTGGGGTTGGGTTGGGGTTTGGGGGTGCTGAGAGTAGAAATAAAATAAACCCAGCGCTGCTGCTGCTGCTGCATCTGGGTCCCTGGGTGTGGTTAGAGGGGATATGGGGGGGAAAATGGGGTCTTGGGGTGTTTGGGGGAAATGGGGACTGGAGTTTGAGGGAAGATGGGGAGTGGGGTTTGGGGGAAAATGGTGAGTGGTATTTGGGGGTGTTTGAGGGAAATGTGAGTGGGGTTTGGGGGTGTTTGGAAAGGGGCACAGGAGCTGATGCTGAGTCACAGCTTTATTGGAGCAGAGTCCCATCACCCTGGGGAGAGGCTGTGCGGGGTCTGGGGGGGACAGTCCCCCACCAGATCACACACACACATCACACACACACACACGTCACACACGTCACCCTCCCCCTGCCACAGCGCCAGGGCAGGGGACAATCGAGTCCTTGCAGCTGAGGGGAGGAGGGCACTGCCCCACACACCCCATTATTGCCTAAAAAATCCCTGCTGGAGCCTTGGGGGGCTCGGGGCAGCTCTGACAGCGCGGGGGGAGCAGGAACCACCACCCAGGAGGAGCCGCAGCACCCGCGGCTCCGCACCCAGCACGGGGACGTGGCGTCACCTCGGGGCTGGCCGAGGTGACAACGAAGGACTCGGCGCCTCCTCATCCTCCTGCCAGGTCCTTCCCGCGGTGCCACGGCCACTCCTGGCTATTGCAGGGCCACCAGGACGTGGGCTGGGCGATCTCCAGTGGCCACCACAGCCTGGCCAAAGATGGGGAGCTGAGGGAGGGGCTCAGGGTGGCCCCTCGGGTGGCCCCTTGACCAGGGCGATGGCAGCCAGCTCCTTGCAGAACTCCTCCAGCACCACCACGCCCTTGAACAGCACCGTGTGATCCATCCTGCGGGAACACCAGCGATTGGGGAGGGGTCTTTGGGGTTCAATCCCCCCCCCAAAAATGGGCATTTTGTCCCCTCCCCAGCACTCACTGCTCTCCTGGCACCAGCCCCAGGAGCTGCTGGCGCACCAGGAGCAGCTTGGCCCTGGCGTGGGGCACACGCTGGAGTCGCTGCATCAGGTCCCCGATCACCTGGGGAGGGAGGAAAGAGTCACCCCCCTGTCCAGGGGGTGTCCCCGTGTCCCCACGGCTGTCCCCATGTCCCCAGAGCCCCGTGGGTGACATTACCCTGACGAGGACGGAGAAGAGCGAGCGGCAGCCGGGGGCCAGGCTGAGGTAGGGGTCCAGCAGGTACTCGTGGAGGTGGGGATGGGGGAAGGCAGCCAGGTGGGACAGCACCGAGGTCACCTGCAGGTTCAGGCTGTAGGGCTGGAATGGGGGAGGAATGCTCAGGACCTGGTGTGGGGGTGACCCCAAACATCCCCTCATTCTGAGCCGCTGATATTTTTGGTCACTTTGTCCCCATTATGGGGGTCCCGGGGGGGCACAGAGCAGAGCCCAGTGGGCACCCAGGTGTATCCGTGGTACCTGATCCAGGATCCGGCTCATCCGGTCGAACAGGACCTTGAGGAAATGTCCCTCGTAGAAAGCCACTCCGGGGTGACACGAGTCCAGGGGCCGGGGGGACGAGGGCCACCCCCATGGGGCTGAGCTGGCACGGCACGCCTGGACCTGGCCAGGGAGGTGACAACAGGTGAGAGACAGAGCGGGGACAGCCACGCACAGGCTGGGGACCCCCCAGGCACCCACCATTGCCAGGGCATCGTGCACGTAGGTGTCATATCCACCCTCCTCCATGCACGAGGAGGTCTTGGCCTCCTCGGGGACCAGGCAGAGGAAGCTGCAAGAGAGGGAGGAGAGGATGGGGAGGGGGATTCAGGCCCCCCCAATCCAGCCCAGCCCCTCCAAACCTTTACCTGCTGACCACCTCGCTCACTTGCCCCTTCCCCGACGGGGTGGATGCCGGGGAAGGATTTTTCGTGCTCCCAAAGTTGTCTGGGAATCCGTCGGTGAAATAGGGATCCTCCTCCAGGTCCCTGTGTGGGGTCAGCATTAGTGGGGTGGACATCGAGGGGGCTGCCCCCTTCTCCCTGCCCCAGCCCCCCCATCACTCACAGCCCGTCCTCCTCGGGGTCAGTCTCGGGGGGCCCTCGCTCCTCGGGGCCACGCTGCAGGTAAGCCCTGGCCTCCAGGTTCCGCAGCACCAGGTTGTGAGCCACGTGCTCGTGGGGCTTCCTCAGGAGCTCCTCGAAGAGCCGCAGGCTGGCCAGGCTGATCTGGGCACGGCCAGCAGGGTGAGACCCCCGCCCTGGCACTGCCCACCCCTACCCACCCAGCCCAGGTGAGCTCACCTCGTCGCACAGGTGATCGCAGCGCTCGATGAGCTGTGCCCGCAGGGGGTGGGGGGTGTCCCCGGGGGTCTCGGGGTGTCGCTGGGGTCCCAGCAGGAACAGGACGAGGCGGTGGAGCAGGGCAGGAGCGCGGAGCTGCCGCACCGTCCCCGTCAGCACGGCCGTGGCGCCCAGCACGGCCAGCTCCGACCTGCCGGCGTGGGGAGGGGGATTTGTCCAGGGAAAAACCGGAACCCCCTCCCTGCTCCTGGCTCCAAGGGGGGGTCCTGGGGAGCACAACAACCCCAAATGGGGCCACTCACATCTGCAGGAGCTGCGGCTGCAGGATTCCTTGGAAAAACTTCTCCTCCACGGCCTCGGTGATGGCATCGGCCACGAGCTGGAGGAGAGGGAGGGGATGAGAGTGGGGACCCCCCAGGACAGGGAGGTTTAGGTTGGATTAGGAAGAATTTCTTCATGGAAAAGGTGGCTGGGTGTTGGAATGGGGCTGCCCAGGGAAGTGGTGGAGTCCCCATCCCTGGAGGTGACACTCAGCGCTCTGGGCTGGTGACAAAGTGAGGATCAGGCACTAATTAATTCCCAGATTAATTAATCCTGCGATTCTCACCGGGTGGGCTCCCATCACCAGCTCATCCACGAAGTCCAGCCAGCTCAGAAACTCAGCCAGGCTCTCCTTCCCTGGGAAACTCCCATCCCCAGCACCATCCCCCTGCGACCTGCAGGGGACAGAGAAGGAGGGGCTGTGCCACCACCTGGGTGGCACCTGGGACCCCCCATCCCGCCGTCCCCTCACCTCCAGCTGGCCTTATCCATGGCGAGCACATCGGCGGGGTCGGTGCCCGCGGGCACGGCGCTGTAGAGGTCACAGAGGTGTCCCGTGAGCAGCTGGCACAGGGCACTGCCCCGCGCCAGGCTGGTGGCAGCCGCCTCCTGCGACAGCCCCGCCAGCAGCAGCAGATTCTCCCGAGCCTTCAGCGCCACCCGGCTCTTCTGCGAGGAAGAGGAGGAGGAGGAGTGTGGGAATCTCTGCCTTGGGACGGTCGGGACAAACTCAGGCGCTCTCTTTATTCTGGTCTTAAAGGTTGCAGTTTATTTTATAGGGTGGGGGTTTATAAAAGGCCCTGCCAGGAACTGCAGCCACAGCTCAGAGCAGGACGGAGAGAGGGAGAGAGTGAGAGCAAGAGGAGAAAGTTTAAGAGAGCTTAAGAAAGTAAGAACGAAGAGAGTAAGAGCATAAGAGAGCGATTTTCCCCTTTACAATACATTAAATCTTCTACTATGTGGAATATTCTAATTTCCACTAACCGATCTAATACAAGATACAAATTCTCTAACATGTGCATGCAACCTATAGCAATCACTATATTACCATGTTTTACTGCTTTTCTCATCTCTAAATTTTATCTGAGACCCTTCCTGCCATGCCTAGGGAGGATGTCTGTTTGTTTTTTGGTATTGGCAGCATCAAACATGATCTAAACAAAGGGGCCTTCAGGCATTCAGTTGCTTTCAGCCACACAGTCAAAAACTGCTCTCATTTCTATTTCACTTCTATTTTCCATATTCTCAAAGTCTTTTGCTAGGCACTCGTATTTATGAGGTTTTCCTAATTCACCCTTCCCCACAGAGGAGGGCACAGGGGTTGGCACGCAGCCTGGCAGTGCCTGCTGGCCCTCAAGTGTCACCCGCTGGGTTGGGGAGGATGAGGATTTGACAGGAAGGTGTAACAGATAGATCTCTGAATGTAGAATTTGAAGAAGGAACAGAAATGAAAGCAAGTTTTGATAGAGAAGAAAAGAATTGCTGAGCCAGTCTGACTGGGTAACTAGAAAGCAAAAAACAAGTGAGTTGGAAGGGGCTTTTAGAGCAAAGGATAAATCCGCCTCAAACCAAAGATGTTTTTACCAAACAAAAGGATTTTCACAGGCAAACAAGAAAGCCAATGCTGCAGGTAGAGAAAAAATCTCAGAAATTTCCAGTGCAGAGCAAGTCCCAAAATTTAATATGTGACTACTAACTCCCATGATTGGCCAGCCACTGCCATCATATGGTAATTCCAGCAGTTTGGATGGGTTGTGTGTAAATGTAAAAGCTATTGTGTGTGATGCTGATTGGTTGCCATGTATTAAGATGCTCTGGAATGAAAAGTTTATAATTAATTGTAACATAAATAAAATTGGGTTTCAGAACCCACAGCTCGCCCATAGCCACAGCTCTGGACTCACCCACGACCCCCAACTGCTGGAACCTCGTCTGTGCAATAAAGAATATTTTAAGAAGAAAACAATAAAGAATATTTTAAGAATTTTAAGAGCCGTCTGAAGCCTCTGTGTCTCTGCCAGGCTCTTACAGCCCTGTGCCCGTACCTTGCTGCTGCACAGCCCCACCAGGCAGGTGACGAGGTCGCTGTCCCTGCGGGGTGGGGAGCTGGCAGCGCTGCCCGGGGGATGCTCCAGACCTTCATCCCTGGGGCTGCCCGGGGCTCTCCTCCCATTCAGGATGCTCTTTCCCTGGAGAGGAAGAGGAGCAGCAAAGCATTGTAGGCATCACCTTCCTCTTCCCCTTCCCCTTCCCCTTCCTCTTCTTCTCCTTCTTCTTCTTCTTCTTCTTCTTCTTCTTCTTCTTCTTCTTCTTCTTCTTCTTCTTCTTCTTCCCCTTCCTCCTCCTCCCCCCAAGAGATTGAACCCCACAACCCCCCCCAATCTCTTGTGTCCCCTCCCCATGGACCACAAGAAGTTTTGTAGCAAAGAGGAGGCTGCAAAATGGGTCCAAACCCTCAATTCCGGGATCCCAAACCCCACAGGTGACCCCAGAGTGCCCCACCTGCAGGATATGGGGCAGCAGGCCGGGATCCTGCTGGATTTTGGAGCAGAGCACTGCAGCGAACTGAGCCTCCTCCTTATCCGTGCCGGAGCCCAGGCGGTCCCCGCTGAGCTGGAGCAGCTTCTGGGGGGGCAGGGACGGGGATTTGGGGCAGGGACGGGGATTTGGGGCAGGGATGGGCATGATTTGGGGCAGGAGTGGGGATTATTTGGGGCAGGGATGGAGATGATTTGGGACAGGGATGGCGATGATTTGGGGAAGGGGTGGGGATGATTTGGGGATTATTTGGGGCAGGGATGGGGATTTGGGACAGGGATGGCGATGATTTGGGGCAGGGATGGGGATGATTTGGGGCAGGGATGAGGATTTGGGGCAGGGATAGGGATGATTTGGGGCAGGGATGGCGATTACTTGGGGATGATTTGGGGCAGGGATGGGGATGATTTGGGGATGATTTGGGGATGATTTAGGACAGGGATGGGGATTATTTGGGACAGGGATGGCGATTATTTGGGGATGATTTGGGGATGATTTGGGGATGATTTAGGACAGGGATGGGGATTATTTGGGACAGGGATGGCGATTATTTGGGGATGATTTGGGACAGGGATGGCGATTTGGGGGTGCTGGGGGATCCCCAGCCCGTTCCCACGCCAGGGCACAGGTGTGGGCTCACCTGCACGGCTCTCAGGACGCTCAGGTAGTGCAGCAGTGGCTGCTGCAGCTGCCCCAGCAGGCGGCTGAAGAAAAGCAGGACCTGCTGCCTCATCCCGGCCGGATACTGCACAGGAGGCACACACAGCCCTGAGCTCCCTGGAACCGCCCCCAAATCATCCCCCCAACACCTCCCTTCCCTTCCACAATCAGGGGTTTGGCTCAATTCGCTGCGTCAAAAGAAAAAAAAAATCTGGGGGATTATTTCCCATTTTGTTTTAATTTATTTCCAATTTTATTTTAATTTATTTCCAATTTTATTTTAATTTATTTCCAATTTTATTTTATTTTTCCCCATTTTATTTTACCTTATTTCCCATTCTATTTCATTACTTCCCATCTTATTTTATTTTATTTTTACCTCCCATTTATTTTATTTTCCAATTTATTTTATGGTATTTCTATTTCGCATTTTAGTTTAATTTTTTCCTATTTTATTTTATTTCCCATTTTATTTATTTTTTCCCATTTTATTTTATTTCCTATTTTATTTCATCTTTTTAATATTATATTATATTATATTATATTATATTATATTATATTATATTATATTATATTATATTATATTATTTCCCATTTTATTTTATTTTTCCCCATTTTATTTTCTTTTAATTCCAATTTTATTTTCGTTTTTCCCCATTTAATTTAACTTTTGTCCATTTTACTTTTTATATATTTTATTTTATTTTATTTTATTTTATTTTATTTTATTTTATTTTAATTTCCCGTTTTATTTTTTTCCCATTTTCTTTTTCTTTTAATTCCAATTTTACTTCACTTTTTTCCCCCATTTAATTTCATTTTTATCCATTTAATTTCATTTCGTTAAATTTTATTTTCTATTTTAGTTCATATTTAATTTTATTTTCTTTATAACCTCAAACCCCTTCACCCACCTCGGCCTTTCCCAGCGTTCCCAGCGTTTCCAGCACTTTGTGCTGGAGCAGGAACTCGAGGCACGGCCCCGCGTCCCCCGGCGGCCGCTGCCGCTGCTCGTGCACCAGGATGTCCAACATCTGCCGCAGCCGCCACGGGATGTCCGTCTGCCGCGCCGGGACGCTCTCGTCTGCGCGGATTTGGGGTTTGGGGGTTTGGGGTTTGGAGGTTTGGGATTTGGGGTTTGGAGGTTTAGGGGTTGGGGGTTGGGGGTTTGGGGTTTGGAGGTTTGGAGGGTTCAGGGATTTGGGGATTTGGGACTTCAGGGATCCAGGGATTTGGGGGTTCAGGGATCCATGGATGAAGGAATTCAGGAATTCAGGGATTCAGAGATTTGGGGATTTGGGGATTCAGGGGTTCAGCGATCCAAGGATCCAGGGATTTGGGGATTTAAGGGTTTGGGGGTTCAGGGGTTCAGGGATCCATGGATGAAGGAATTCAGGAATTCAGCGATTCAGAGATTTGGGGATTTGGGGATTCAGGGGTTCAGGGATCCAAGGATCCAGGGGTTTGGGGGTTCGGGGGTTCAGGGATCCATGGATGAAGGAATTCAGGAATTCAGCGATTCAGAGATTTGGGGATTTCGGGATTCAGGGATCCAGGATTTGGGGATTTAAGGGTTTGGGGGTTCAGGGGTTCAGGGATCCATGGATGAAGGAATTCAGGAATTCAGGAATTCAGGGATTCAGAGATTTGGAGATTTGGGGATTCAGGAGTTCAGGGGTTCAGGGATCCAAGGATCCATGGATTTGGGGATTTAAGGGTTTGGGGGTTCAGGGATCCATGGATGAAGGAATTCAGGAATTCAGCGATTCAGAGATTCGGGGATTTGGGGGTTCGGGGGTTCAGGGATCCATGGATGAAGGAATTCAGGAATTCAGGGATTCAGAGATTCGGGGATTTGGGGATTCAGGAGTTCAGGGGTTCAGGGATCCAAGGATCCAGGGATTTGGGGATTTAAGGGTTTGGGGGTTCAGGGATCCATGGATGAAGGAATTCACGAATTCAGGGATTCAGAGATTCGGGATTTGGGGATTCAGGGGTTCAGAGATCCAAGGATCCAGGGGTTTGGGGGTTCAGCGGTTCAGGGATCCATGGATGAAGGAATTCAGGAATTCAGGGATTCAGAGATTCGGAGATTTCGGGGTTCAGGGGTTCAGGGATCCAGGGATGCAGGAATTCAGGAGTTCAGGGATTCATTGATTTGGGGATCCATGGATTAATGGATTCATAGATTTGGAGATTTGGGGACTCAGGAATTCAGGACTGAAAGATTCAGGGATCCAGGGATAGAGGGGTTCAGGGACTCAGAGATCGGGGATTCATGGATCCATGGATTTGGGGATCCAGGGATCCAGCGACTCAGAATTCAGGAATTCAGGGATCTGGAGATCCGGAGATTCAGGGATCCGGGAATTCATGGATTCATGGATTAATGGATTCCGGGATTCCAGGATTCTGGGACCCAGGGATCCGGGAATTCATGGATTCATGGATTAATGGATTCCGGGATTCCAGGATTCTGGGACCCAGGGATCCACGGATGTGGGGATTCAGGAATTCAGAGATTCAGGAATTCAGGGACTCAGGGATTCAGGGATTTGGGGATTCGGGAATTCAGGAATTCAGGGATTTAGGGATCCATGGATTTGGGGATTCAGGAATTCAGGAATTCAGGAATTCAGGAATTCAGGAATTCAGGAATTCAGGGATTGAGGGATCCATGGATTTGGGGATTCAGGAATTCAGGAATTCGGGAATTCAGGAATTCAGGGATGGGGGGCTGCGGCGGGGTCCCCCCCGGGCACGGCAGCGGGAGCGATGCCCCGGTGCGGTGCCAACCGTGCCGGTGGGGCTGTGCCAGGGCTTTTCCCTTTTTCCCTGCCCCGTGCCATCCCCGCACGGGTTAGGATCACAGCCCGCTCCTCCGGAGCGGGAATGTCGCTAGATGGCAATGTGAGCATGGAACAGCCGCTTCCGCCCCGGCCTAGGACACTGCCGGACATCCCGTACCCCGGTGGGCACCGGAGACCCCCACCCCGGGCACGGCCAGGACCCAGATCCTGCTGGGAATCGGGGCCGGAGCTCTCCCGGCGCGGTTGGAGCGATCCCAAAGGGACGCTGTCCCCGCCTGTGCATTGCTGTCCCCACCCTGCCAACCCCGCCAGGGTGCCGGGGGGTCGGGGGGTCGGGGCCGGGCAGGGCACAGCACCCAGTCCGGGGAAATCCTGCCGGGGTTTGGAAAAAAAGTGTCCCGTGCCTTGTCCCCACGTGGCAGGGCGGCCACAGTGCATCAGGGTCCTGGCCCAGGGTAGGGGGTCCCGTCGCAGGTGCAGGGATTTGTCCCGGGACATGGGGTCGTGTCCCAGGACAGGGGGTCCTGTCCCGGGACGTGTCCCCTAACCCTGCCCCAGGGCACGGGTATCTTATTCCTAGGCCGGGGACCCTGTTTTAGGACACAGGGACTCTGTCCCGGTCCCTTCCCAGGATATGGGATCGTGTCCCGGGGAATGGGGTCCCCTCCTAAAGCACTGCAACCCCCCATCCCTGGGCACGGAGACCTTATTCCCATTTTTAGGACACCCTATTTTAGGACACAAGCTCCTCTCCTAGGACAGGAGGACTCTGTTCCCACACCACAAGTACTTCATTCGCACCTTGCAGAGACCCCACCCGGGGAAAAAAAAGGACCCAAATCCCAGGAAAAAAGTACCCCAAGCCCGGGGGCAGCCTCTTCCCGCACCCCACTCACCTGTGGTCTCCAGGTAGTAGCCGGTGATGCCCCTCCAGTGCTCGATGAAGGCTTCCAGCAGATCCACGCTGGGCTCCCGCTGCTCATCACACCGGGATTGGGGTCAGGGGGGCACGGAGTTCCCCATTCCCGGTCCCGGTCCCCGTTCCGTTTGCGGTCCCGGTCCCGTTCGCGGTCCCGGTTCCGTGTCCCTCCCCCGGCCCCTCTCACCGTCTCCACCGCCTGCTGCAGCAGCGCTCCCAGACGGCTGAGCATGGCTGGGACCCCCGCTCCCGGTTCCGGTGCCGGTTCCGGTGCTGGTCCCGCTCCCGGTGCCGGTCCCGACCCCGCCGCCGGCCCCGCCGCCCCCGGTCCCGCCCCGCTCCGCTGGCACCGCCCCGAGCCGCTCCCTCCCCCCCTCCGGCGGCTCCGCTCCGGCTCCCGACGGGATCGGGGCGGGATCGGGGCCGGGTGGGAGGGACAAAGGTGGGAAAGCGCCTTAGTCCTAAAATTGCTCCCAGCGAGGGCGCAGTTCCGCATGGGGATGGACCCCACACACACCGGGGGGAGCATCAGCGCACCCCGATGGACCCCGCGAATTCCTTCCCTGGGATCGGGATTGACCCCACAAACTCCTTGCACCAGGATGGGGATAACCCCCATAAACTCCTTTGGGATAGGGACCGAGCCCACAAACTCCTTTCCTGGGATCAGGACTGACCCCACAAACTCCTTTCACCGGGATGGATCCCGCACTCACCGGGACAAGGACACCCCATTCCCAACTCACCTTTTCCCGCAGCACAACCCAAGCTTTACGACATTTTTTTTAATCCTTTAAAAAAAATAACATTTCTCCAATTCCAACCAAGCCCTGACAAGCTCAGCTGTTGGAAAACCGCCCAGGGCCCAGCCCGGGTCCCGCTGACTCCAGGGAATGGACAATCGGATTCCTCCCAAATCTCCCAAATTTGTGTCCCCCACAACTGCTGGATCCAGGGTTCATCCATCCCCATCCCTGTAAAAATTGGGGGTCCTGGCAGGGGGATTGGGGTCCCGCTGATGGACAGGGGACAGAGCCAGCAGCTCCTGAAGTTGTACCCCAAATTTGCGCCCCAAAAACGAGGTGCTGGGATGGGTGGGGATGCAGCGGGGAGAGACTGGAAACCCACGGGTGGAGAGCTGATAAGTGTGTACCGATATATCTGCATATAAAAAATAGATGTGCGTAGTTGTAGCGTTGATAGTGATGGATAAAAGTCAAATTCCAGGCTGAATCCAGGCTGGTCCTGCACGATCCACGCGCAGCCCGATGCCCTCTGGGAGACCCCCGTGATCACATCGCGGATTTCATCTCCCACTCCTGCACAAATTGAGGGGAATCAATCCCTCATTTTCTTGTGGGATCCCCTAAATCCTTCCCATCTCCCGGGATTTTGGAGCTACCTTTGTTTTCTGCATCACATTTCCCTTCCCCGCGATGCGCGGGGACGGGGGCGGCCTCAGCGCGCTCCTGGCTGACGTGGTGCGCTTCAGCAGGGGCCTGAGGAATGAGCCCTGCGGGAAAAACAGCGGGGAAAAAGCTGAGAGGAGCCTCCAAACCTCGGTTTTGCCCTCCAAACCTCGCTCTCCCTGCATTTCACTCCTTCTCCGCTGTCCCCCACCTCGGAGCCGGCCGAGCTGGCGGTGGCGGCGATGTGACCCTTGAGTGACTTGCCGAGGGCCAGCAGGTTCATCTCGGAGCCGGCTTTCAGCCTGCCCTTCACTCGGCACGCCCTCTCCAGCTGCTCCACCTTCTCCTCCAGCTTGGGAAAGGCTTTTTTCCCTGCAAGGACAGAGGGAGCGATGCCAAGCCCGGGCACCCCTCAACCCCGCCGGCTGCTCCGGCCAGGACCCGCTACCGGAGCCTCTCCCTGCTCCTACCGATGAGGACATCGAGCCCATCCCGCGTCCCTTTCCTCTCGGGCAGGGTCAGGGTGTGCTGGGACAGGGAGAAATCCCTGCTCTGGAGGTTGGGGTTGTCCTTTGGCAGCTGTGCGCTGGCCGGCCTGGCCCGGAGAGCTGCCCCTGGTGCTGGGGAGGAAGGGAAGAGGAGAGAGAGTCAGGAGGAATGTAAGAGAAACGGAGGATCAGGAGGAAGGGATGAGAGGAAAGGTCAGGAAAATGGGCAGGGGAAAGATGCTGAGGGGACGGAGCAGAGAAGGGATGGTGGGGAGGAAGGGAAGAGAAAAGGGAGAAAAGGAGGAAGAGCAGGGGAAGGATGATGGGAAGGAAGAGGAAGGAGGGTCAGGGGGAAGGGAAGAAAAAGGGGAATCAGGAGGAAGCAAAGAGAGGAAAGGGCAGGGAAAGGATGACCAGGAGGAAGAGGAGAACGCTGGGGAGGAAGAGCAGGAGAAAGACCCAGAATTCCCATCTCTCGTGGGCACCTCCATCCCAGCACGGGAATGTGGGGACACCCAGGAGCAGCCCTGGCTGGAGCACCCAGCCCCTCTCACCTGCCCGCGAGGGCCGGGCACTGCCCGGGGCGGGGCTGGCACAGGTGGGCACGGCAGACACGGGTCTCCTGCGCTGCCCTTGCGCTGCCCGGTCCAGGCTCTGCTGCTGCGGAAGGAAGCCCGGGAGAAGCTCGTGGGCGAGCGGATGGTGAAGCCCGTGGGCAAGGGGACAGTGGGGATGGATGTCCCCACCTTGGAGGTCACGAGTGGGGGGCAAAGGGCACCAGCAGAGGTTACCAGCTGCTGCAGCCGCTCCGCGTTGGAGTAGAGATGTGTTTTGGGGGTCTCAGCTGGCGGGGGCTGCCCGAAGGGATCGTCCATGTAGGTGTTGGGGGTCGGGACACGGCGCAGGAGCAGCCCCCTGCGAGCAGGAGGGGATCCCATTATTCCCACACCCCACAGCGGAGCGGGAGGGCTGGGGGTGGCCAAAGTCCTTACCCGGCAGCGGGGCGGCTGCTCGGCCTGGGGGGTCTCGGGGGGGGCCCGTTCCCCTTCTTTGGCTCCACTCCTCCCCTGGCCTGCAGGGTCTTCAGCCAGGCTTCCCTCTCCTCATCCGAGCGGGCCTGGCGTGGGGCAGGGTCTGGGCTCAGGGGGTGCCCCCCGGGATGGACACGGGGGTTCCCCAGCGTTCCCTCACCTGCAGCAGGGCGAGCTCCCGGCCGCGCTGGGCGATGCGGATCCGGAGGTTTTGGGGGGACCCTGCGGCCGCTCCGGGGGACACCTCGCAGCCGTCCAGGCGCAGGGCACAGACGGGGCGCTGGGCAGCGCCGGGCTCCGGGAACATGCGCAGGGCTCCGTGCCGGACCGCGCACCACAAGCGCTGCCAGCGCCCGCGCAGCCGCACGGCCAGGAACCCTGCGGGCACCCCGGTCAGCGGGCACGGGGGACAGGACCCCCCTCACCCCCTCACCCCCTCACCCTCTCACCCCGTCCCCTCGCACCCCCCACCTCCTTTGGCATCCTCTCCGGGCCGCGGGCTGCGGGCAGGGCTCTGCCGGGAGCGATTCTTCTCCTCCTCCTCCTCTTCCTCCTTGCCGAGCTGGGATGAGGCAGGCTGAGAGTGGGGGTGGGGGGATCCCCGTCTCTGTGGGTTCCCAGCCCCCCAGGAGGACACCAGGATGTGCGATTGGGGTGGATTCCTGACCCATTCCCATTTTTTTTCCCGGGGGGACAGACTCACCCTGCGGAGCCTCGAGGGAGGTGACGCGGGGGCGCTCAGGGCTGCCAGCCCGCTCGGGGCATCGCTGCTCACCTCCTCGATCACCTGCCGAGGGAAACGGGCACCGCTGAACCCCGGGCTCCAGATCCCCGTCTCAAAAGGGGGAAGGGAGAACTGGGGACAGACAGGATCATCCCCAGCTCCCCCCTCCCGGGAGCACCGGCGCAGGGCTGTGCCCCCATCTACCCCCTGCCCACCCCACTCCTGCCCGGCTGCAACACCTCCAAACCTTCCTCCAGTCCTCAGCCTGCTGCCGGCTCTGGAAGCCGATGACCAGCACCTCTCCTGCCGTCCCTGTCACCTTCAGGGCGTGGGGCATCTTCTTGCCCCTCTTGTCCTTGTAGGTGACCCGGCAGCCGCGCAGGTCCAGCTCCAGCACCGGCTGCAGGTCAGCGGCGCACCTGAAACACTTGTGGGGTGGGACACTGCGGGGTCAGAGGGGGCACGGAGGGGCCAGGGGGGGCACGGAGCCCCTCTCCTCTCTCCATCCCTTTATCCACCCTCCTTGCCAGCCCCTCACCAGCAGCACGTGCTCCCGGACGATGAAGAGCTGCTTCGCCCACTGCCCGAGCCAGCGCTTCCTCCAGAGGAAGCCGCAGAGCTGCGCCTCGGGGCGCCCGGGGGGCTCGGGCTCGCCGCTGGTGGCCGATGGCCAGCGCAGGTAATGGGCCCGGTCCGTCACCCCTTCCTCCTCCTCTTCGTCCTCTCCGTACGACTCGTAGTGGCTGCTGTCGCTGTCGCCACCGCCTGGGAGCCGGGATGGGGTCAGGGCTGGAGGGGAGGGGGGTACGGGGATGCTGGGGAGGGGTCGCGGGGAGACCTCACCGGTTCTGCCGTCACCGGGGGATTCGGCGTCTTCGTACGAGTCATCGGCTGAGGGGGACGGGGGGGCGCCCGGTGCTTTGTTCTGGGGGCACAAGGGGTGTTCCAAAGGTGCTGCCCCCCCGGAGGAACCTCGCAGGGTCCCCAAGTCACTGCCGGGGGGCTCTGCCAGGAGCGGGTGGGCACAAAAAAAACCTTCCAAACCAAACCCCCCACCTCCGCGAGCAAGATTGGGCACCGGTGCCAATCCCTGGGTGCCATCCCTGGCATGCCCAGGCTCCTTTCCCAGCCCCTGTGCCGCTGGCTGAGCCCCCAGAGCCCCCAGAGCCCCCCGGCCCCGCTCTGACCCCTCCGTGCAGGCTCAGGGTGCTGCCCGGGCGGCACTCGCAGCCTCTGCCTCCCTCCTCATCCTCCGTCCTGGATCCTACCGGGAAAAACACGAGCGGGGTGCTGAGGGGTTCCGAGACACCCCCAAACCACGCGTGGAGGAGGAGGAGGAGATGATGGGGCGGGTGTGAGCGTGGGACTCACCCGGGCTGGTCCGGCCCTGCGGGGTCCCCGGGGAGGGCGAGAGGCAGCGCATGATCATGTACTCTGCATCCTCTGCTGCGGGGGGAGCGCGGGGTCACGGCCCCGCTCCCCGAGCCCGCCCCGCTGCCCACCGGGCACCGGCCGGGGGCTTCCCCCCGCCCCCAGACCCGCACTCACACGGCGGGCTCTGCAGCCGGGACAGGAGGTCGGACACGGATTTTTTTTTGGCCCGAGCTGCGGCGCTGAGGCTTTCGCGGTCCAGGATGAGCAGGAAGGACCGCAGGTCCGACAGCAGCTTGTCCAGGTCTGCAGGGGACAGGGACATGCCACCCTCCAGAGGACAGGGGTCCCCATCCCTGCTCCCCGCACTGGGGGGTCCCCGATGCCATGGGGGTGTCACCGGTGCCATGGCGAGCACGTGCCCGGTCCCACAGGTCCTGCCCTGCCCCAGCACCTGCTCCGGCCGAGGCACAATCCAGGCCATTGATGGGCCCAGGGGCACCGGGGGAGGATGAGGAGGGGGGCCTGCGGGGATGAAGGCTCCTCTGTGTGCGCTCACAGAGCCGGTTTGTTCCCAGCTGGGCCGGGGGCTGCGCTGGTGCTGCTCCTCCACGTGCGGAGGAGGAGGAAGGTGAGGAGGAGGAAGAGGAGCCCTGGCAGCCTGGAGCAGCTGATGAAGGCTGGGCATTCACCAACGCCCCCTCTGAGGGCAGGCACAGGGAGGACACAGAGGGACAAGGAGCTGCTTTGTGCCCGGAGCGGGGACAACGGGACAGCCGCGACAGCACCGCCTCCACCCCGGGGCCCCCCGAGACACTCCGGGCACAGCGAGAGGGTCCCTGTGTCCCCAGCGGGGGCAGTTTGGGGTCCGTGCAGGTGTTGTACAGCAGGAACACCCGCGGTCTGTCCCCTGTCCCCTCTCCCGCAGGGTCCCCTCGCCCTGGGCACCTCCAGCTGCCACCACAGGAGCGGCCAGATGTCCCCGAGTCCCCCGGGGTCGCTGCCCGGCTCCCCCCGGGCTCTTTCCTGCCGCGCATCTGGAATTGGTTTGCACGGCCCCGCTCCGGGCTCTGCTCTGCTCGCTGCTCCCAGCTGGGATCCAACATTCCAGCCCCGCTGCGGGAACCTCCTGGTGCCCCCCCAGACCATCCCCGATCCCTCCTCGGCTCCCCCCTGCCATTTCCCAGCTGGAAAGGGACAGAGGGACATTCCCCGCGGAGCCACCGCCAGCAGGGATGCTCCTCCTGCAGTGCCCCAGGTGACCCCGACCTCCCCCATCCCTGAATCCCACATTTCTCCGGGTCGTCAGGGATGCAGCGCACCCCAAAAAGGAGGTGGCACCCCCTGGGTGAGGCGAGGGCAGGCGGGAGAAGGAGCCCCACACTGCCACGCGTGTTCCAGGGGGCGGGGGTGAAGCCCCCTCCCCCAGAGCTGCTGGCACGGGGGGACCCCTGTCCCCTCCTCGTGTCCCCGAACGGGGAGCACACACCCTGCCCGCGGGGAGAGGAAACATCTGGCAGCGCGGTCCGGCTGAGCAACGCCGGGGCTGGGCCCAAACATCTGGATTTCCCTGGAAACCGGGGAGGGGAAGGGGGGAAAGAGCTCCCAGCGGGAAAAACGGAGGGGGCTGGGGCAGGGGCTGGCTGAAGGGACCTGCGGGCGGTGTGGGGCACACGGGGACTGTCCCCCCTGGGCAGCGGGCCTGGCTCTTCCCCTCCCTCCCTCTCTCGTCTCCTCCGCCCAGGCCGAATTCCTGGGCAATGACATCTCCGTCCATTCACCCTTTTGCCCTCGCTGCAGCCCCCCCCGCGCTCCCCCCCGGCCGCGGTGCCCTCCATGGGGCAGCGATCCGTGCCCAGCTGTGCCCAGCTGTGCCCAGCAGCCGGTGCAGGGCTGGCAAAGGGGCTCCCCTCAGCCCTGGCCCGGTGCCCGCTGCCTGCTGCCGTGCCAAGGGAAAAGCGGCCGGGATGGAAAACATCTGCCTGGCTCCGCAGGGCGGGAGGAAAACGCCCCCCAAAACACACACAGAGCGTCTCCTAGCAAAGCTGCCCGCTCCCACGGGACGTGTCCGGGCATCTTCATCCTCGGGGGAGGAGGAGGAGGAGGAGGAGGAAGGACGGGGCGGCCGCAGGGATGCCATGGGAACGCGCGGTGCCCGGGTGATGCCATTCGCGGCTGCGATTTGGGGTTGGCGCCTCTGCCCGGCGTCCAGGCGGGGTTTGATCCGTGCCATGAGGGGTGCGGGGGTGCGGGGGTGACCCGGGGGACCCCGGGGGTGGCTCTGGCCCAGCTCGGGATGACTCAGAGGAGGCTGCAGGGAGCTGCTCGCGGCCACAGCGTGACTCGTCATGTGCGGAGGCTCCAGGCCACGGCTGCAGGGTGGGGACGCTCCCCCCACTGCTCTTGCACCTCCAAATTGCCCCTGGGAGGGCGCTGGAAGAGGCGCTGTCCCCTCCCCAGCCTGCCAGGGCACCCCAACGTCGGGGGGGACACTCTGACCCTCCTGGTCCCCTCAGGTTCACCCCTTCCCGTCCAACACCCATCCTGCAGCCCTCAGCGCCCCTTTTTCACCCCAACCCCTTTTCCCGAACCCCTTTTTCCCTTCCACGGGCACCCCACACCCAGCCGCACCCCCGCGTGGGCACCCCCGCACACTGAACCCTCTTTCCCTCCCGTTTTTAGGTTTGTTCCGCATCCCTTCGGAGCCCCCGTACCTCGCTGCCGGGACATGGTGCGGGAGCGCTCACATCGCGCCGGGACCGGGATTGGGGTCGGGATCGGGATGGGGAAAGGGATTGGGGTCGAGATTGGGAGCAGGAGCGGGATCGGGATTGGGATCGGGAACTGGGTCAGGGTTGGGATCGGGAGCGGGGTCGGAACCGGAATCGGGACCGGAATTGGGATCGGGGGCGAAATTTGGATCGGGACCGGGACCAGGATTGGGGTCAGGATTTGGACCGGGGTCGGGATTGGGATCGGGACGGGGATCGGGAGATAAGGATGGGGATTGGGATGGGGATCGGGATGGAGACCGAGGCCGGGACCGGGACCGGTGCAGCGCTGTCCCGGCCCGGCTCGGCTCGCACACGCCCTGCGGGCCCCCAGCACAGCCCGGCCGGGGCGGGAGGAAGGCGGGGAAGGCTCCGCATCCTCCTCGGAGCAGCACCGCCATCTGCAGGGACCCGAGCTCGGGGACAAGGCAGGGTCCGGGGGGATTTTTGGAGAAAAGGGGGGAAGCAAAGCCGAGGAGTCGGGCTGGATAAAGCCATTTCACCTTTAATTGTAAGCAAAAAATCACTCTCACGCAGATTCTCCGACACCAGCAAATAAAATAAACTCTAACAAAAACAGAGAAAGTGAATCACTGTAGTCCAGTCCGAAAACAACCCATATTTATATATATATTTATAGATATGTCGTTTGTAGCAGTGAAAGGCAAGTATGGGCCAGTGAATTCCCGATAAATTACATTCTTTACATCCCAACAAGGTCTAGCGGCTGGAAAGTGGCTGGAAACAAAAACCGGGGAGCGTGGAGGGACGGGGGGGTGCGGGGACAGAGGGGTCCTGCCCAAAAACGTGTGCCTGGAAGGGAGAGGGGGGTGAGAAGGGAAGGTGCTGCCCGGTGCCGAGCCCTGTCCGAGCGGCCGGGAGGGGACAGGGACAGTGCCCAGCCCCCGCTGAGTGGCCGCGGTGCCCATCGAGCCGTGCCCTGCTCCAATCTGTCACACCAGTTCATCATCCCAGTTCAGTGCCCTCCTGTACCCCGAAATCATTGCCCCAGTGCCCTCCTGTACCCCCCAAATCACGGCCCCACTGCTCCCCCCCACCCCCAGCTCATCCCCCCACACCCACGCAGCTGGAAATGCACCAGGAGCTGCCCCAGGACCCTCCCCCCCACCCCAAATCTGCCACCCCCAGGGTGCTCCCCCTGCCCCTGCGCCCAGCCCGGAGCCTTGGGGGGGTTGGCAGTGTCCTTGGGGTCCCCGCTGCAGCGCCTGGCACAGGAGGGACCGGGGGTGCGAGTGTTGGGGACAAACCTGGGGGGCTGCAGGGGGGGGTAAGGTGGGATTTGTGCCGGGAGAACATCGGTCTGGCAGTGTCGGCCCCCAAGCCTCGGGGTGGGGGACAGGGGCGCTTTGGGGGGGCACCCTGGGGTGGGGGGTGAAGGGCAGCGGACCCCCAGAGAGGAGGGGACCCCTTCAGTGCCCCCCCAGCCCGGTAAAGCAGAGCCAGGCACATTCCCGGGGGGTGGAAAAAAGGGGCGGGGGGGAGGGGGGCACTAAGCCCAGAGACCTCCCCCCCCAAAAAAAACCTCCCGTCATGGCTGAACCGTGCCCCAGCCCCGTCACCCCGCGGCCAGGCAGGTTCGAGCCCCCCCAGTCCCATTCCCTGCAGGAGGAGTGAGGTGTGGGGAGCAGATTTTGGGGGCTGAGGGGCGCGGGGAAAAGAGGGGGGACCCCAATAAAAACCGGCTGAGAGCCCTAAAGCGGTGACACGGCGCGACACGGACTGAGCTGGGCCCGAGGAGGACTCAGAAGAGGAAGGCTTTCTTCTTCAGCTCGTTGCGCTTCCACAGGGCCAGCTTGCTGAACTCCTCCGGCGACATCTCGAACACCTTCAGGAAATCCTCGGGGGACAGGTGTCGCTGCGGGGAGGGGACACAGGATGGTGACAGAGTGATAGAGTGTACAGACCCCTCCCAGAGACCCCCCGAGCCTGGCACAGCCCCCACCTCCAGCCTGGTCCTGTCCACGCCGGGCGGGAGCTTCACGCGGCCTCGGTTCGTCACCATCAGCATCTCATAGGGGTAGATCTGCAAGAAGCGGGGGGGCTGTGAGACCCTCGGAGAACCCCCCCCGGACCCTTCCAAGCCCCCCCAAGCCCCCCCAGCCCCGCTCACCTTTTGTTCCAGCATGCTGGGCAGGGAGTTCCCTCTGTCCATGCGCCCGCGCTGGCCGTTCTGGGGGGACAAAGCCTCAGGTCAGGCCGGCCCCCCAACCCCCCCCAAAAGTCGAATTTGTCCCACCTGAAGCGGGGCCGAGGTGAGGGGGGTGCCAGACCCTCCCTCCCCCCTCCAGGGTGGTCCCGGTGCCCCTCCCCCCCTCCCCCGTACGTCACCGTCTCGCTGGGTCTCGCTGCGCGCGGCCAGGTGAGCTCTTACCTGCAGGGCTGGACAGAGAGAGGAGCGGGGCTCAGCCCGGGGACCCCCACAGGTACCCCCACATTCCTGCTGAGCCCGGCCTTGTCTCATCACTCCCAGTCCTTGGGGACAATCCCGAATCTCCCAGGACACCCCCCAATTCCCGGGGACATCCCCTGGGACATCTCCACATCTTCAAGGCATCCCCACATCCCTCCAGGACATTCCAGCATCCTTCCAGGACACCCTCACATCTCCAGGACACCCCCACATCCCCAGGACACCCTCACATTTTTCAGGACACCCCCACATCCCCAGGACCCCCAAGATCCCGGGGTCACCCCCATTCCATGCCCTGATCCGCACCAGGACTGCCCTTCTCGCTCCCCGCCGAGCCGAACTCTGCCGACTGCAGCTGTGGGGGGACAGGGACAGGGTCAGAGGGGTCATCCCAGGAGGGACAGGGTCAGAGGGGTCACCCCGAACCCCCGAGCGGGCTGGGGGTGACCCCGGCTGGGTGGGGGGACAGGGACAGTCTCTTACCCGGGTGAGGGTGCTCCGGCCGGAGGCGGGGAGGGAGGAGCTCTTGGAGCTCGTGTGGAGAGCTGGGAGAGAGGCAGAGACCATCAGGGACAGGCAGGGATGGACAGGGATGTGGGAGGAAGAGGCAGGATTTGGGAGGTGCCAGTGGGATTTGGGCGACCCAGGCATGATTCGGGCGGTACAGGTGGGATTTGGGCGGTACGGGTGGGATTTGGGAAGTTCAAGTGGGATTTGGGAGCTTCAGGTAGGAATTGGGAAGTTCAAGTGGGATTTGGGAGGTACAGGTGAGATCTGGGATATACAGGTAGGATTTTGGAGACACAGGCAAGATTTGGGATGTTCAAGTGGGATTTGGGAAGTACAGGCAGGATTTGGGGATAGAGGGGGGCACAGGCAGCCAGAGAGAAGGAAGGGAAGGTTTGGGATTTAGGGAGAACAATCCCAATCCCAATCCCACTCACACGTGTGGAAAGGCGTCCGGTCCGGCAGCGAACGAGTTTTCCTGCGGATCGGGAGAGATTTCTCCATCTCCTCCTTCAGGATCAGCTTCCCGAGGTTGGAGGTGACCTGGGGACAAAGGGACACGCATTGGGATCGGTGCCAGCTCATCCCCAGCCCCTCCCCAGCTGCCACCCTGCCCTGACCTTGCTCAGCTCCTGCCGCTGCAGCTCCCGCAGGTTCTTCATCTCCTCCGTCAGATCCTCATCCTCCTCCTCGCCTCTCTTGGACGCCATCCGCCTCCTCCACTCTGTCTCTGCGGGAGAAGCGGCGACACAAAAAAAGATTTTCCAGCCCTCCCCAGCCCTCCCTGGGGTCTCCAGGGGGGGGAAAATCCCTCAGTTCCCACCTACCCACGACGGCCAGGGACGGAGGGCAGGGCCAGTAGTCGGTCTCGATCTTGGCGGGCTGGTTGGGATCCGGGGGCTGCGCCGCCGGGAATTTGGAGGATTCGATGATCAGATCCTCTATGAGGTGCTTCCCGTGGTGGGCACTGGAGTGGTGGTCTGGGGTGGGGGGCACAGGGGGTGAGGGAGCATCCTGGGATACCCCATCCCATGGGATAGACCCCATCCCATGGGATAGGCCCCATCCTATGGGATAGGCCCCTCCCCACTCACCTTTCTGCCGGTAGATCGGGGGCTTCTTGTAAATGTTGAGCTCTGTCGTGTCCGTCTCTGGAAGGAAAAATGGATTTGGGGTTGGGAGATCATGGGGTTGGGAATGGGAGCTCATGGGGTTGGGGAATGGAGCTCGTAGGATTGGGAATGGGAGTTTATGGGGTTGGGAGCTCATGGGGTTGGGAAGAGGCTCCAGGACACTCTGGGCGGCTCAGGCAGCTCTGGGGGTCCTGGGGGGATGGTACCGGCTCGGAGGAATTTTGGGGTGCCACGGGGGCGTTACCAGGTCGGTGGAAGTGCTGGACGCTGCTGCGGGTGGGGGCCGTGCCCTGGCGCGAGGGGGGCACTGGGGTGCTGCTGGGGGGGCGGCTCTCCAGCCACTCCCGGATCACCTGGGAAAACGGGATCGACGATCAGCCAGACCCCTCCCCAAATTCCCAACCCCCCCCTCCTCCCACAGCCCCAGCTCCCGTACTCACCTCTGGAGACGGAGGAGGAGACATGGATTTGGGAGACAGGGAGCGCTGCAGAAAGCAAGAATTTTATTAATTTCAACATTTTAAAAATGAATTTCAACAATTGTAATAACCTTCAGGAGCTGCAGTGAATTACTATGAATTTTAATGAATTTTAGATCTTTTTGTGCTGGGATTTCATTCCAGCATTCCCCAGCTCCGTGATCCTTCTATCCAGGTGGATTTTTTTTTTTTTTTCCCAAAAAAAACCCCCAGGGAATTCTCCCTCACCTCCCGGCTCCGGGGCAGCTCCACGTGCTCCATGAGCGAGTAGGTGAAATGGGGTTCGTAGATCATCAGGTCGGGGCGTTCGATGTCCAGGATCGCTTTGTCCTTCGGGATGGCAGCCAGGTCCTTGTACCCCAGGACCTCGTTGTCCATTTTGGCCTGGGAGGAAGAGAAAACTCCTCAGTTTGGGGTGGAGAAGAGGATTTTTGGGGAATGGGGAGGGTTTGGGGGGACACATCCCGACCCCATGGATTTAGGGATGCGGTGGGAATTGTTCTCACCACGATGCTGGAGGGAGAGCCGGGAACGCTGGAGCCGCGGGAAGAGCAGACGCTCCCAGGGGAGGTCAGTGGCTGCTGGATGGAAAAAGGGGAAATTTCAACCCAGAATTTCAGCTCGGGGATGGGCTCGGGGCGTGGCAGGGGGCTCGGGGGACACCCCGATGGATCCCAAATTCCTTGGGGATGGGGATAGGCACTGGGGACAGCCGGGAGGGGACAGCGGCTGGGCCAGGACACGCTGCCACTAGATGGTGCTGCCAGGCTGGGCTGGGGAGGAGGAGGAGGAGGAGGAGGAAGGTAAAGTCCTGCTAACAGCAGCCCGTGACAGCCCCTGCCCGTGGCCACCATCCCCAGCCCGTGGCCACCAGCCCCGTGTCCCTTCCCTGCGTGCAGGGCTCCCCGTTCTCCCACGCTCTTCCAGGACTCCCAACACCTTTCCCTGTACCCCCAGGACCCTGCCCAGACCCCCAACACCCTTCCTGGACCCCTTACACCTCGTTCTGTACTCCCAGAACTTTTCCGGGACCCCCAGCACCCTTTCCTGGACCTCCAGCATCTTGTTCGGTACCCCAACACCGTTCCCGAACCCCCAACAACCTTCCAGCACCCCCAGAACCCTTCTCGGACCCCCTGTACCCTGTTCTGGACCCCAGAACCCTCCCCAGACCCTCAGCACGCTGTTCGGGATCCCCAGCACCCTGTTCTGAATTTTCTGCACCCTTCCTGGACCCCCAGCGCCCTTCCCGGACCCCCAACACCCCCTCCCCATCCTCCCGTTACCTTCTGCAGTCTTTCCATTCAGCTGTGGGCTGGCCGGGGTGTGTCAGTCACAGGGTCCTGTGGGGACAGCGAGCTCTGGGCACTGCCAGGGTGGGCACAGAGCACCCCAGGGTGGG